GACGTGCGGATTTAGGCGGCGCACCAAGTCAGCGGTGCAGGCAATGAAAGTGGCTCCGTCCATCGAGGTTGCGCCACTTTCAAGAACCAGCACAGCTCCGCCCTGCACGAGGACATCGTCACATGTTCATACGGGTATCAGCGGCCTCAGTGCTGCGGTGGGAACACGGGGTGCGGGCGTACGGACGGCGCACTTGGCGAGCCTTGCAAGATCTGAAGGTGACGCCGACCAGCGAGATGTCGCCACGGGTCTTCCGAACGTACACTGCGCCGCCATACTACACACGGGCAAGGCGTCAGATGCCCCAAAAGGAGCAACGAGGGTTCGGCCGCGCACCATTCCGGACTCGCAATCAGTGAATGACACGTCCTGCATCGCAATATTGCCAGCGTTGTACACCTTCACTGCGCCGCCGTAACGTTCAGAACGCCCGTTCACAAAGCGTAGCGCGTACAGCGAGAGGCTGCAGCCGCCCTTTATGTCAAACATGCTTGAGAGCTTCTCGCCGTCGAGCGTCGCCCCCTCTCTGGTGCTGCGGACGGAGAGATGGATGTTGCCGTCGCATGTGCCCGAGGCCAGTACAAGAAGCGCGACGTCGATTCACCTGCCGGTCATGAACACACGTCACGTAGAGGCTGCTAGGAGAGGGGGTAGGGGAGGGCGGCGTGGCCGCTCGTCGACGATGCATCGTCCCACGCATCAGACCCCACACAGTGCCACGTCTGCATTCGCAACAATGAGCGAGACGAGCGAGGACGATCACCCGCCCAGCCAAAGTACGCACGCGGAGCGCGCGAGTAGCGTGCATGGGCCCGCGTAGAGCACCACCAGCCGCCCCTCCGACCACTTCATACTCCTCGCCTTGGAGGAAGGCTCCACCTCCACCACGTCGGGCTCGGGGCCGGCCGTGCCCGCCGTCCCGCCGGTGCCCGCCCCAGTCTGGCCGGCCTGCGAGCGAGGGATGGACGCCGGTGGGTGCCGTGGGCCGGCCGTGGCCGGCTGTGGCCAGCTCGGGGCCAGATGCGCGCACCATGGTGCGTGGCAAATACAGATACGGCTGTATCTGTATGCGTGGCAAATACTGTTGCACGCGTCTCCGGAGCTGCCGTATTTGCGCATATAGGGAGACATACAGCGGCAAATACGCTTAGCAAAACGTCTCTATTTTCGAAGCCCTTGCATCCGCACGGCCGGGGCGCTTCTCTCTCAATGAGCGGCATCTGTGCGCTGCTCTCACGCTGCCTGCCGTCGGCGGAGGAGGAGGAGCTCTGGTACGAAGGCCTGGACAGCGAGAACGGGCGGGGCGGTCCGTCCGACGTGGAGTTGCGGGTGCACGCTCTCGGTGTAGCCTGTGACCAGCTCGACCGCCGGACTGTCGTCGCGGCGGCGGCTGCATTACGCGACCTGGCGTGCGCGCCGCAGAATCAGGCGGCGATCGACGCGCATGGTGGGTGGGCCGCCGCCGACCGCGCCGGTGCGCTGCTGGACGATCATGCCGACTCGATGCGGCGCGATGAGATTGCAGCGGTGGGGGGCGCGCACGCACTGGCGGCGGCGCTCTCAGTATTCGC